ATGGAATGAACATGGATTTAAGCACTCCAAAAATTAAATACTCAACCCGACCAATAATGGAGTTGAAAGGTTGTTCATCATCGGGTTTGGTTTTGGGGAGACATTTTTAGGTGTCTACAGAAGCCCCCACTTTGACTGAGTTTGTAGAAACGTCAGTTTCGAAAAAGATGGTCAAAGTAGTCGATAGGGACGGAGAATGATTAAAGACATTCTGCGATCCTAAATCATTCTGTATACGCCGAAACCTGCAGAAAAATGTTAATTCCACAGATAAAAGAGTAAAGGAATAGAATGCTTATCTGACACCAGTGTATCGGTGATAAATGAGTTTGGTAGCTTCCTATGCTTGAAGGAATCCATCAGATGACGTTTGTTGAAATGCTTTCCATGCTTGAGGAAAGCCGACAAATGATTTTGGTAGCTTTCTAAGCCTGAAGAAACCTACCGGATGACACTTTCCATGCTTGAGGAAAGTCGACATATGATTTTGGCGTTTTTCTATGCTTGAAGAAATCCACCGATAATGCTTTCCATGCTTGAGGAAAGCCGACAAAGGAATTTGGCGGTTTTCTATGCTTGAAGAAATCCATCGGATAATACTTTCCATGCTTGAGGAAAGTCGACAGATGATGAGATTGCAAGTTTCTGTGTATCGAGAACCTTGCGTCATGAAATGATGGTGGTTCGATTGTCCCCGAACGTGGGTTGTAGATGGTCCGCTTGTCCCTGGACGTGGGCTGTAGTTGGTTCGCTTGTCCCCGAACGTGGGCTGTAAATGGTTCGCTTGTCCCCGAACGTGGGTTGTAGATGGTCCGCTTGTCCCCGGACGTGGGCTGTAGATGGTCCGCTTGTCCCCGGACGTGGGCTGTAGATGGTCCGCTTGTCCCCGGACGTGGGCTGTAATTGAGACTTGCAAAATAAAATTTGCCAAGGGACTCGTATAGATTATGATTGACTTGAACAACTGACTTGACCAAGTTTGACTTGACACGACATGACATGACATGTGTATAACTTGTGGTCGTGTGTGTCTTGAGTGAGTGTGTGCACTGACACAAGCAATTAAAAATGCAAAAGAAAAAAATTTCTATCATTTTTGTCATGAGTGGAGGGTACCGAATTTCTCCCAAAAAAGAAAGACGTGAATAATGAGGTTTTGTTTTTAAACTTCCCCAAAATAAAAGTCATGATAAAAAAGGGAAGAAGTTTTGAACTTCCTTGTTGAGCAAGACGAAATGAATCACATGGACTTTCTTCTTGTAATATTGAACTGCACGTCTTGAGTATAATGTATGCATGATGCATGTTCTTAGGCTAGGAGGCTAAGGACAATTACATCATGTGACACGATAGATGAATAAACTTAGGTCATGGAGCTAAGCATCATATATGGTGTAAAGAAATGATCTTGAACGTCACTTAGGTCTTGAAACTAACCACGTATATAGATGAAGTGATTATTGCATAATGAAAGTTTCTTAGGTCAAGGAGCTAAGAACGATATGCTTTGTATGATTACAAATCATTGATATATAAATGTTGCTCAGCACATTATGCGATGCATGAAACAATGAACATTACTCACGTCAGGATGCTAAGCAAGTATACAATGTTTCTTTTAAAAGACACCCGTGAATTTGTGTAACAGTAACACCCTCATCAAAGAATTTCAGCAACTGCCTCCTTGCCCCTGAGGTTAATCCCTTCATTCGATAATCTTTCACTAGGTTGGCCTTACTAGGTGTTGGTGTATGATTAGAGTGCTCCAACTCCACTCCCTTCACCACACACTCACCCTGGCGATTAACACTTGCATAAAACTTCGCCTTACACTCACATTTTTTAGACTTCCGCTTACATTGACTCAATTCATCTGCACACACAATACCATCAACTGCTCCCCCTGTACCAGATACATCCATAGCCTTAGCCCTCTGTCGTGCCTCCCTCAAAGCCCTCATGTCTGGTCTACCCCAGCACTCACACCTTTAAGTAGTCGAAATACGATCTCTCCCCTCACCTTTCGAATAAACACCTTGTGCTCTCGTGACTCCAAAACCCTATTGTTGGGCATATTCTTTATAATATGCCTCCACATCTTGCCACGTCTTAAAAACCATACCCACCTTTGGCGGTTCTATAGTTGAAGAACCACTCAACTGATTGCTACCTACAATTGTGCCTAAGGTATCCAACGTGTTAATTGGAGATTGAAATTGCTCACAATTCATAGCATTGTCAAACCCCTGGGTCATTGGTGATGTTGGACAAACACCAATCCCAGACTTAACCTGACCACCACCAATCCCAGAATGTTCGTTTCCGTAGTTTACATTATCGGGGCCATCGTCACCATCACTCAAAATGTCTTGAACATCCATGTTTTTAGCTCAGCTCACAACGGTACCAACATGAGATATATTAGTAGCTTCTATCATTATAGTGTACTAGTAGAATTATCTACGTATTCCTTTTAAAATACAGGTGTGTAATTTTTTTTTACCAAACAGCATTATTGAATTTAGTGACAAGCGATTCCCAAATATTTCTATATTACTTCTTAAAACACATAACTCTACTAACCCTCTATGTGCACGATCTACTTGTATAACTCGAAATTTTCAGTTATTTGATCGATCTACTTTTTTTTTTTTTTTAAAGAGATCGATCTACATTATTAAGTCACCATTCCACATGACAATTAACAGAACGGGCCAATAAGAATTATCTTTATCATGAACGGGCCAACATGAACACTCTTCACTAATTCTTAGTCAATTTTACCTACGCATCATAATTCTCTATGGATCCAATCTGTCGAATTAGCACAAATTAATTGGTTCCCAAATGAATTGAACGCTTGAAACAAATGACACTAGTATACAAGTATACACAATGACCTATTTTCATCATGTGATTTTACAATCGCATGGATAATTACATCAAACAAAAAAAAAAACAAACAAACATAATTGCCTTAATGTCCGTTTCATAACTTACTTAGGTTATTTAGTCGAGATTTATACAAAATAAGCACAAATTTCAAATAAACAACTATGAATGAAACAATTCATATACTAAAACAATTCATATACTAACTAATCAATATAATCTATAAACAACTCATACCACAAACCTGAAATTAGAGCGCCAAACACCATTGTCGTGTCTTCACCGAGGACAGATCCAATCTTTCAGTACGCTATGAACTATTTTTTAAATTAAAGTAACATGTAAAAGCCTTAATGTGTTTCTTAAAACTTGTTACCCAAGAAAGGTCTTATACAACTAAACAATAAACCTACCAACCACACAAGTAATTACAGCTTCTCCATTACGTAACCCGATCAACGGTGTTAACATTTCTGCTTGTGACGTTAACACCCTCAAGCACTGTCATCATCCCACTCATCACATAGAATTGGGTACTGCTGCGTTGGTTGTACTGACTCATCACCGTTTATTGAAGAGGGCTGACTTGGCACAAAAGATTGACAAGCTAAATCAATCATAAAGATCAACTGGGCATCCCTCGATTAGTATATAATAATCAAAAGGTTGGATTATGAGGGCAAAGGTTGGATTATTCAAATCAAATTTTCCTAAAATTTAAAGGCCAGGATTCTACTATTGGAAGCAGTCATGCAGAACATGCTTCTTTAATTTATACATTTTGAATTTGCTTTTTTTTTTTTTTGGTACATTTTGCATTTTTTAGTAGTTATGCACAAAGTTATACTCTCTCCGTCCCTTAAAGCCTCTTTTGATATTTGCGCGAGAATTATGAAAGTTAAGATATTATTGTGATAATATTCTAGAGAATATGTGAAAAGATATATGTGTGAGATATTGTGATAGTTTTAGAAAGTTAAGATATACAGGAATATTATTACAATATTTATAGACAATCGGAATACCTAACCCTAATATTCCTGTATATATTAACTTCCTAATATTCCTGTATATTCTTATGGAAGTTACTTTATAACAATTTAGTAGTGAAGTCGAAACTTTGCCGTCGGGGGTCCTAATTGGGGATATGTCCTATGACCTTTGTAATGAACCGATTGAGGATTTCAACCATCTAGTTAGGGAGTGCAAAATTGCAAGAGCAACATGGAGGGGTGGATGTTTTGACATCCACTCACAAGCACATGGATGTCTTTCTATTTCAGATTGGATCCAACATTATATCCGATTTTTCATTAGTTAGGACGGAATTTTGAGTTCCAACATTAGTACCTTCGTTGGTACTCCTTGGGCTCTGTGGTTATTCAGGAATAGCAGGGTTTTCAATCTTGATACGCCTATTACACAACCAGTTGGGTTGCACATTTTAAACATCCTATAATCTCATGCTCTCTTTATGGATGTAGATACTGCTAGGGTAGTTTCCCATTCTTCTGCTATTCATGAAGGTTTACCCCCACCAGGGTTTCATGTGGCCCATTTAGGGGTTTCTCGAACAGGTTTTAACTTGGTCTAGATTCAGAGTGATGGAGCTTGTTACAAGGACACTCGGCATGCAGGAATGGGGTGGTGTCTTGATAATGCAGATCCGCTGAATGATAGGCTTATTAGCGTGAGTAACTTTGTACTTTGCACTTCCTCTCTCCATTTGGAAGCCTTAGCTTGTTTGTATGCTCTACAATTGGCTTCAAACTGTCATATTCGTTCGGCCGTAATTTTTACGGATACTTATAATCTTGTCACCCTCTTGCAGGGCGAGGGGGGTGGTATTTGTTTTTTTGGCTTGTGCAACAAATACAGCGTTTACGATCCACCTTCCAACACTACGAGATTTACAAGGCTCACAGGCAACGTGTTCACCGGGCCCACCAAATTGCAGGAGAAGCTGCTGTCCTTTTAATTTGATTTGATAGTAGTGTACTTTAGTTTTGTACTTTCTTTTATCCTTTGTCAAAAAAAAGAGAAGAAAAAAAGGAAGAATCTATAAAATCGAGTGATCGGAGAACATTAGAGCAAGGATCAGAGACTAAATCAACAAATAAAATACTAAATTTATTCTTTCATTCCTTCAAGAAAACCTACAATCTTAACCAAAGTAATAGAAACAAATGGGAAAATAGAGACATATATGTCCTATGGATGATATTTAATGGAACATTGCCATTCATGAAAATAACACCGTAGGGAAGAAATAAATCTATTCTTAGCTTCAAAATTCTCTACGATGAATTATAATACTCCGATTCACATAATAAATTCAATTTCATCTATAATAATTTAGCTCTTTTAAGTAAGAGACAACATTTATTTTTTTATAATAAATTGCAAATTTAAGTAGGTTACCCTTTTTATGAAAGCAATTTAGTACATCAGGGCAACAAAATATAAGCTTCTCGATTACATTAACATGTCCTCCAGTGATTGCTTTATGAATAGGATATGTACCATCGCCATCTTTTATCATCACACATTCTGGAAACTCTTGAACAATGTAGCAGACTTCGTCGAAGTAACCATTGAATGCTCCAAATGAAAGAGGCTTCCATCCTTTCTTGTTCGGCGAATCGATGAGCTCCGGAAGGCCCTCCATGATTGCTTTCAATACATCTAAATGTACAAATTAAATATGAACACAAACTTAGTTACAATGAAGTTTAGGCAAAATTAAACTATAGCTTGTAAGTCTTAGATGCAGCCAATTATCCTAAACCATGGTAACTAGACACCACTAACTATTGATTGAGGTGCAACGAGTGCCATCAATTACCCTTTAATTACCAAAAATGTCTTAGTGTGAGTGCCCTAAATACCCATTAATGGCACACATTACACCCAAATCAACAGCTTTGTTTATGAAATTTTAGTGGCTTATAGACAAACATGTAATTTGGGGCCTTAATTAGTTAAAAAGAGAGGTTAATTTTTTATATTTTAAGGATATGCAAAAATCCAAAAAAAAAAAAATTTGGATATTTTTAAGTTACAACAGTAACTTAAATTCGGAATTAAAAAAATTATAAAATAAATAAACACTTTTTCATTTTTACTATCTCAATCAGCATCCACCATAGTATATACACCAACATAAAACTGTTTCATAAGTAAAAAATAATCAAGATAAAGTTGATTATGGAGTACATAAAGTTTTAAGGCAATATTCAAAACATTCTACATGCAACTAATCTAAAGAGTAGTAAAACCCACCAAAATACTTCGCAAAAACCAGCCTATAAATAAAAAATTAAAATAAATACAGCATAACAAAATTAATTTACATCAAAAACAGAAAAAGTCCATAAATACAGCATAACAAAATTAATATACATCAAAAACAGAAAAAGTCCACGGCAGAGTTTATTCCTAAACCCACCTAAAAATCAAATTAGGCACAAAAAAATTGAGCCTTTGATGAATAACTTAAAGATACAAGACAATACCGATATAGTAAGAAAAAAAAGGTTAATGATATGACACTCACCAAGGTTCCTCTTCTCAAGAGCAGTATGTGCAATAAAAACGTTCTTGGCATGACTGAGAAGATGCTTTTTGATGGATTGATTTGCGGTCATGGTCTTAACCAGATCCGAGTATCCCTTGTTTACAGCAAGGCACAGCGGCGAGTCTCCTTGGTTGTTGTCTTTGTATGTGGCCCTTGGTGCTACCTTAACCATGTAAATCGCGGTCTTCTCTTGACCACCCTCGATAGCATAGTACAAAGGGGTGTTACCGAAACGGTCACCCTCAAGCATCAATTTCTTAAAATCACTTTCGCTTTGCATTAATTCGGCAATCGTCATTAGAGCCTTGGTTTGACCATAATATGCAGCAATATGTAACACAGTGCATTTCGCGGTATCCTTGTACCGCAATATGTCTAGATGAAAGTCCTCATCCAAGATCTGCGCGATCACGCTTAGCTTACCTCTCGCAGCTGCCTTAAAGAGTCTAATCCACTCTTCATCATTGTCATTATCCGAAAGACCCATTCTTACAAGATTCAAATATATATCAGAACGTAGAAATTGTGACTTAGGCCGACCCAGACGCTTCATTTGGATGCACAAGTCATGGAACCCAGCTCGTTGGGCTAGCTCAAATGGCGACACTCGATCCATATTCAATTTGTATATGACGCGCGGCTCCTTCTTAGCTAGAAGAGTAGCGGCGTCTATATGACCATTTTTGAGAGCCAAGTGCAAGGGCGTGTCACCTTCTGCGTTCCCTTCGCACAATGTATCCCTCGATATTTTTCCATGGTTCATTTCAAGGAACTCTATCATCTTTGATATAGTCGTGTCGTGTCCTGCTCGTGCTGCAACATGGAATGCCGTGTCTCCGGCGGCATCTCCAATTTGGATTAGGGTCGGATCTTTAGTCAGGATTTCCACAGCATCTTCTGCCCGGCCTTCTAAGGCCGCCTCGAGGAGTTCATCAGCCCCGTACATTACTTCGTCAATGTCATTGCTGCTACTACATACACTTGTGTTTGTTTTTCCTTTAGTGGACACAACCAAATTAACGGAAGCGCGGCGACCGCAACTAAGTGGCGTTTTCCATACTGAGTACGTCTTGGGGACGGTTACGGTACGGGCACGGGTACGGGTACGGGTACGGCAAAAATACATGCCCGGGCCGTTTCCTAATAACGGGGTACGGGAGCCAAAGCTGGGTACGGGCACGGCGAGCCCTACAACTGGGTACGTCTTGAAAACAGATCCTAACATTTTTGGTTCCCTAAAAATCACTCTTTCTCTCACACTTTTTCTTAGCTTTGTGGCTTCGTGCTTCCTGGGTTCTTGAGTTGCGTTGTTTTATTTTTTTTCTTTTTAATTTGTATGCCTTGTTTTTTTCGATTGCCGTTTTAGAGTAACTTGGCTGCTATTTCTGTAGTAAAGGTGGAGAAGAGAGAGGGGAAGAATGGAAGATCTTAAATCCTGGGAACCTTTTTTTAAAAGAAAATTTTGTGAAAAACTCTCAAAAAATTGCGGCTTTTTGAAAAATAACTCCATTAAATTATACGTATTAATCCTTCAAGGTTTTTTTATAAATTTTAACCAGCACCACCAAACTTATATACTTAAAATTTTTCATGACCTTTGTTAAATGTTACTCCTCCCGTTTCATAATGTTAATCCCAAATAGAATCAATCACATAAAATAAGGAAAAAAAAATATATATATTTGAAATTTAACATTAAAGTACAACATTATTCATAATTATTTTACCTTATATAACTTTTTTAATTTTTATTTGGAAAGCACAAGTCATAATTGCATTAATTAAACCTAATTTCGAGGTTTTGCATTAAAGTAGGTTTTGATTTCGGTTTCAGTTTACAATTTGAGAAACCGGCCTGTTGTTACAGGTTCCGATTTCAAGAATTTTAGTAGGGTATCATATTATGGGTAGCTTGCAATGCCACATAAGCTTTTAAGCTAATTGTCATTTTAGCTCTAATGGGTAGCTAATAGCTTGCTATTTGAATGGACCAAACCTCCGTAATTTTTGTTGATAAATTTTATTTTATTTATTCTAATTTGTTTTATTTTAGCAAGTTTTTTTCCAATACAAAGCTAATTTGCTTGTCCTGGCTAATTGCATTTTCTAGCTCCAATGATTAAGTTAGTAGCTAGGGATTAATTAATATTGCAAGCAAGTCCTAGCTACAACCATTGGAGTTGCTCTTATATGCCTTAACTTGGCATCATTGATTTACATTTATATTTGAAGTTTAAATTAGAAGCTAAGTGACAGAGAACTTTTAAAAACATAACGAATTAAAAAATGCTAAAGATCATTATAAAATAGATGTAGTATTTTAATTAGACCATTTGGTTGTGGATCAATCCCTACTAGCTAGAGGTACTCTAGGGTAACGGGGTGATGACTCTTGGCCTTTCACTTTCATCTCTACTACTTGCACAAAAAAAGTCTTGCTTGCTAATTCTAGCAGATCAAGTTGATTAGTGCAAGGTTTTAGTCCAATAGGCCATATGCCTTCACTAGATATTCATCTAAGAGAATATTCCCATATCATCTAAAAAAGATTACCCCATATATACTTATTAAAATGAATATTGCCTCACAATTCATTTGGAAAATTTTCCTACTTACAAGTCCATTTGCTCTCTCAGTCTCTTTCATTGTCAATGAACATGTGATCAGAGAGTGAGGGATAGCTCATGTGGTTAGAGTTTCCCTTTTGATTCCAGTCAATTCTAAAATCGATTGTCATTACCCACCCATGTAGCTCTCTAAGCACTGGATAAAAAAATGTGCGACCAGCCGACCAACATGAGCTAATTTCAATTTGCCTCAAGTGAATTTAAGAGTTTGAGACAATTTTTTTAGGAATAGCTAGAGTGGCTATTACAAAATGCAAAATGTACAAAGAAGCATGTTCTGCATCTAATTATAGAGCCTTTTAAAAATTTCCATTAAACAACGACTATAAGATTTGACTAATATCACTAATTAGCTGTAATCACTGTGTGAAATGTACGGAGTACATAATTTGGTAATTATATAGTTTTCATTAAATACGACTTATAGACTTATTTGGATATAGTTCACTAAACCACTTATTTACTGTCCCCAGTTGATACCATTATCAATAAAATCACTTCGGCAGTTAATTAATATTAGAGCTGTCAAAAACCGACCCGAACTAGTAAATCCGAACCGTTTTGAACTGTTCTGAGAAGAATTCGAACCGCTAAGAACCTGTTATTTTAAAACTGTAAACCGACCCGACCCGATTTTTTAAAACCTGAAACTAAACCAATCCAAATGTTTGAGAACCGTTAATGAACCGTACCCGATATCAAGCCGAACTGATACAACCCGAAACCGAGAACAACCCGAACCGAGTACTTTTGAACCCGATAGCAACCCGACCCATTGTAAACCAAAACCGTTTAAACCCGACAAAAACCCGATAAACCCAAATCGTTTACAACCTGTAACTGGTTAGGATTGAACCGTTTATAACCCGTTATAAGTTATGATCGAACCGTTTATAACCCGTAATCAGTTATAACCGAACCGTTTATAATCCGTAAGTCCATAACCCGTTATGACCGTAGAATTTTTTTTTTTTGGGTATATTTTATCAATAGTAAAACAAAAGGGTTTAATTTGAATTATAAAATATTTATATTGAAAAGGTTTGGAATTTTATGCTACAATATTATCGTCCACTAACGAGTAATGGCTTATGGAACACTATATTGTATTAAAAAATTTTAAATCTAAATCAAAAGCTAGCTCTAGATTTGTTATTATTATTTGATCCTTAAAATCATTATACAAAAAAGGGACATAAAGTAAAACAACTAAGTAATACTCCGTATGATCTACTAGAATAACTAATTAAAGAATATTGAGGATATACTAGACGATATACATTAACGAAACCCGTTTAAAACTGGCAAAACTAGTTGTCAAACCGACTAAGTTCAACTCGAACCGATTACAACCCAAACCGATTACAACCTGACCCGATTAGGACCCGATATGTGTTGACCCAAATCCCGCTTTAAACTGACAAACCCCTTTTTAAACCGATTATGACCTGAACCAATTATAACCCGGCCCGATTAGAATCCGACCCGAAAAGAAACTGTAATAAAAATAAACCAAATCGAACCGACCCAAAATTATTTAACACCGACCCGAACTGACTCGTTAATAATTCCAACCCGTTAAAAACCAAAAACCGATAAACCCCAAAACTGAACCGAAAACCAGATTGACACCCCTAATTAATATACATGTACGTTTATTGTCCTCAATGATCCATGAAATTTTTTTTCTCTGCATATGGATGCATAATTCTCCGTGCATTCAATTTTTAAAAAAAAAATAAACGGAATGAACATATAGTTATACAGTAATGAGCATACATTTATTTTGTAAAGAATATATACTTATTTTATAAAGAACATCACATATAATTGTTTTGTAATGAACATATAATTGTTTTGTAAAGAACATATAGCTACTTTATAAAACATCCAACTTTATGTTCTTTATATATAACTACTTTATCTAAAGAACATCAGTAACATTAATAAAGAACATCTAGGTTTTCAATCTTTATTAAATGAATTATTTGTTCCATAATTGAAGAGTTTTGATAATTATTTTCCAATCTCAATTTAGAAATTTGTATATTTCTTCATATTTTAATTTCACTTGTTTTTAATTTTTTAGAGAGAGAGATAAAAATCTTAGAGAGAGAAATAGAAAATTTATAGAGAGAAAGAAATTCTATCGATAGAAGACAATGGCTGCGCATTTAGATCGGGTTTTGTGGTGCTTTTGATCATTGTTTTGTTGATGGAGTGATTGATAATGAAGGTGAATATGTAGATTTGTTAATCAAAAACCAAAGGTAATTTTTGAATGAAATTTTTTATTTATTTTTCATTAATTATGTTATTTTAGATTTGAATTAGAATATTTTGTAATCATAAAATTCATTGTTCATTTTCATTTTTGAAATTAGATGAATCTAGATTGTTGAATTTGAGATTAATGTGACAAAGGTTGAATATGGTGTTCTTTATAAGATAGTGTTATGTTCATTGTTATTAATAGCTTTATGCTCTTTTTCTATATCTCTTATGTTCTTTTATTATATTTTTCATGTTCTTTTAAACTAGACTCTCATAAATTATCATGTTCATTACATTTTTACAATATATTCTTTTTACTTTAGATATATGTTCTTTAATCTTTACAGTTCTATAACATGTTCTTTTCACTTTAACTAAATGTTCTTTTCATTTTAACTAAATGTTCTGTTCATTTTAACTAAATGTTCTTTAAATTTCTATACAATGTTATTTCCGCTTTTTTTTTGGAACGGATGTACTATGCGCATGATACATCGGCCTCCATGAACCACTTATTCATGATCCATGCTTTCGACAAGAAAATATTCAATAGTGTTTAGAAAAACGGTCCCAAGTAAAAAATTAAACTGTATATAATTCGATAAATAAATTTTATAACTAGTGAATAAATTGTAACGCTTCCAAAATTTGGACCATAGTTTTTGTGTTAGTGACTATTTTGTGAAACCGTTTAATTAGTTGGTAATCTCTCAGTTTGTGTTCTATTCATATTTACATGAACCTTTATACTTTTCAATAATACTTCATATATATTTACATATATTAATAGTCAAAGTTGTTCATTGGCATATGCATGTTTTATGGAGTGTTGCGATTATTATAAAATGCTGAGAGTAGAAAATATACTACGCATTTACCCAATGCCGTCGTTGGACCAGGGCAAGCGGGGCGGGCGCCCAGGGCCCCCAAACCAAAAGCCCATTTTTATTGAAATGCTCTAAATTACCTAATTATAAAAATTAATCTTATAACTATATTATCAAATTAGTTTAGCAGCTCAGTGGTCATTTAGTCTTATGTTATTAATTTTAGTCAAGTTACTGGGTTCGAAACTTATTTCACAGTTTTTGGTTTCTTCATTTATTTTTTCCCTTTTTAGTTCTTTCTCATCATACCATTTTATTTTAAGTTGTTGCCTCCCAATTTTATATTTTAGAAAAGTAAAGGAAGTATTATTATAAAATATGTACTAGTAATATAATAATAACATTTTATGGCATAAAAATGATATACATATATGCTAAGTACATATGATGCTCCGTAAGGCTTAATTTTTAAGTGATGATTTTTGTATGTTAATAAATTTTGTAGATTATAAGTTTTTATTTTATTTTTTCTATTATCTCATATTCACATTAAAATTAATACTATTATGAAGTGTAGTTTAGTTTGAAATTAAATGACAAATTATAGTAAAATAGCCTAATAAAAAACTCTCCATTCGCGATTTTATCGCACGTACAATTAAATTTATAGGGCCCCTAATCGT